GCTTTTGAATGCTGATGAATGCTCCATGCTCCCCTCCCCTGTGTGATGTTTCTGGGCCAATCAGCAAGTACTAGCACTTTCTTAAGTGCTGAAATGGAATGGAGAAAGGAGCAAGGTAAATGAGTGCTGCTTGGGAAGGGGCATTAAATTAACCTGTTGCTTTCATTTGCATGGGAAAAACACAACTTTGCTTTGCAAAGAATTGCTACAAGCTATGTTTTAAAATACTTGGCACATGTGCATGAATTAGCCTTGTACTAATAGATCAGTTTTCTCATGTGGAAATGAAAACATTTGACTGGAACCAACACAGAGAATGTTTTAGTAATGTAGTTGCATTATTTAATTGTACGCTACACATTTTATATGTACCAATTGTCGAAATGTAAATACACACAACTGGACCAGCCACTGTAGATGAACTGCACCACATGCCTATGAGAAACAGAAAAAAAAAAAAAAGACTGGGCACTGGGACTTTTCAGGTGTTACTTTGATAGATCACTCAAACATTTTGAATACTAAAAGCTTTATCTTTTTTATCTTAGTTTCTGTAACTTGCTGGCTTTGGGAGTGCCCCTTTCCTTCTGATCCAACGGCAGGGCTGAACTATAGATTTTGAGGTTGTGTTCATGAGACTTTAAGATTTGTATGGGGATTTTTCACATCTCCTGAAAAAGCAAATATGATATCTGCTAAACACAAACGGTTTTTCCCAGAAATTTCAGTGAACATATATGTATATGTTGTTGTACTTGGAGACAGCTGACAGGGTATATTGGGGTAGTTATGTGTAACGCCCCATTCACACTGAGCGTTTTATCGAGCGATTTTTGCAGCGATATCGCTCATATTTCCACGCGATATCGCTCTATGTAGCTTCTCCAATCCATTTCAATGGAGCTGTTCACATCTCGTCGCTCAATATCGCTTGTAGCTCGTCGCTGGTAGCTTGTCGCTCCTACATGACCCTTTTTTCGAGCGATATTTCTCCTGTTTTCATACAGCCCAATAGGAAAAAGTTGCACGACAAGTCGCTCAATATCGCTCGTCGTGCAATATCGCTCAAAATCGCGCGATTTTCATGTCGCTCAGTGTGAATGGGGCCTTAGTAATCAGTTTACCGGTTATGATCTGGGAAAGTGTCAAAATTGATTTTAAATCTGTTTATGAATCTTTTGTATTATAAATATATTTCAGATCTTTGGAGTGATCTAGCAAGTAAGCACCAGAAAATGTTTTTTTTTTTTTAAATTTTATTATTTCCTAACGGCAAATATATGACTAAAAAGAATTTGCATGAGAATAGCTTGGATGTATTTCAAGAACTAATCTGTTTTAATCCATGTTCTCATAGGTGCCTGGTGAAACGCTGCACAAGAAGACACAAAACCGTCCCCTTTTCCAGTATAAATTTGGCCTTAATAGGACTTACCAGCTTTCATATTTTTACTGAAAATACTTGTGGAGTGCTAGATGTGTATATTTCATGTCTCGGAAAAAAAAACATGTTCACTTTCACATTTTAGCAACAGAAAACAATGTGCCATGTCATTTTGAAGTGTGTACTGCCTTGATGGTTGATTTGAATAAAATATTTTATATTTATCACAACTGCCTTGTTGACCTTCCTCTAACCAGAGCGCTTTTCTTTTCTTTTTAGTCCATTAAGGGACACAGCGGGTTTTTTTTACCTCTGGGTTACTCTGCTGCCTACAGGCATAAAAAAAATGTAGGCTGAGTGTATGTGTTTTCTTTAACCCTGATATTTTCTTGGCAGAAGAAGATCCGGCTGCACACCAACTAACATTGAAGAAGTTTGTTGAAGCACGTGCAACATCATGAAGTGCTGTCCGAAGCTCCGCCCCTCTCGACACATTTCACCCATCAGGCTTAATTTACAGTAAACTGCTTCAGCATTATTCAGTGTGTGGCCGGATGTTTTTCTGCCTTGAGTGTTTGTGAATCTGGAGCGAGGACCTGCTCATACTGGTGAGCACCAGATCTCTTTCCGCTGCTGAGCTTGTGAAGGAGCGGTGCTTTCTCTCTGCACCGATAGTTTCTGGGGGTTTTTTTTGTCTGATGAGATGGTTTGCTCTATTTTAAAGTTAGAAAACACAGCCACTCACTGTCCTAGCCCAGTTTTTTGGTCTTAGCTCACATAAACCAAAACACTCTACAAATGTTTTCTCATTGCATTTGGAGACGATTTGTTGGCTGCAGAAAACAAGCACACCCACAACATTGCCACGCTAGCTTACTTTGTTACACACCCAAGGAGAACAAAATGATGGCTAGTAGAAAAAAGACACAGCTCAAAATACACATGCAACCGAAAACTAAGCAAGATTACCAACACAATTGATTACCTACTACAAACAAAAGCTAAACCGCAGTTAAAATGTCTTTCAAAATTTACAGCAACAAATGTGGAATTCTCTTTTAAGAACCAAACTGATAAGCGGTTGGAAGCCCTCTCTAATATTCTGTCTTCTCTAGCATGCCCTGCTCTTCACTGAACCAAATCATGGCTGACTAGTCAAAACCTCTTAAGAGATTTTTACTTCTGTTGAAGTTGACCTGTGAATATAGAATAGAATAAATGGCTGTAGCTTTAAACTTTAGTTGTGATGGCTTGCTGAAGGCTTCCCGGCTTATCGCTCACATAGGACTTTCTTTAACACCACACATACATAAGACACGTTGGTTATAGTGCTGGACTTCAAAAATCCACCTCAAAGAAGTGTCTCATTCACATGGCCTTTCCAGAGTGGAGGCACATTTGTTCACCTTTTGCAGACATTTGGACAGCTTGCATGTCAGACACTTGGGTGCATGAGGTGGTATCCCTGAAGTATAAGCTGGGGTTTTCCTTTTCAAGAAAGTCCCATTTTGTCCAGTTTTGCTCCAGACCTCTACAACACAAATGACTTGTTCCACAATTACAAAATGTTGAGTCCCTGGGCACACCAATTCTTTTGGCACCAAGGTCCAGGACATCCCTGGCCCAGTGGCTCAGAATTCTGGCAAATCCGTCCTGTCCTTTGGAAGATCCTCATTCATTCCAGTCTGGTCAGGATGGGGAGAGGGCCACGGCCTAGTTGGTGGAGGGAACTTGGTAATTGGATTCTCGACTCTTTCACCCTCCTGGTACTACAAATTATTTGGATGTTTCTGCAATGTTGGACCTTCCTGCTGGAAGGTCATGGAGAGACCAGAAATCTCACTGCAGCAAGAGAGGTAAATCAGATCCTGTCCTTGGCAGAATTAAATGTTCCTGTCTTGTCCAACTTGTACATCCCAGATGTAGACAATTGGCAGGCAAACTTCCTCAGTTTACGTTGCCTTGACCCGAGGGAATGGTCCCTGCCTGCCCCTAGAGGTGTTTCAGGACCTGTGTCACAGATGGGGGATCCCAGTTATGGACCTTCTGGCCTCTAGGGTAAACAAACTAGAAAAGTTTGTCTCCATGTACAGGGATCCGACAGCAAAAGCAACTGATGCTCTGGTGGTTGCGTGAGATCAGTACACCCTAATTTATTACCATAATCTTTCCTCCCTTGAAGCTAGTTCGATGATCCTCATTGCTCAGGACTGGCCCAGGAGATGCTAAAAGCTAGGAAGACTATTTCCTCAAGGTCTATCATCAGGTATGTAAAGGGTTACCTCACTTGATGCGAATTTCCAGGCTTCCATCCCAGGAGTTTCTCTGTTGGAGGAATACTCTCCTTCTTGCAGCTGGGTCTGAACCAGTGGTTGGCTCTCAGCACTATTGAAGGTCAAGTTTCTGCCCTTTTTATCTTGTTTCAGAGATCATTGGTCTTTCACACCTTGATTAAGACCTTTGTACAGGGAGTCTACCATCTAACCCCCTCCCTGTTTATTACCTTGTGACTCTGTGGGATGTGAATCTGGTTCTGCATTTCAGAAACTACTGTTTGAACCTATTAGAGATATTTCTCTCTCTTTCTATTCTTACATGCAAGGTGGCATTTCTTGCAGCCAATATCTCTGTGAGGGAAGTATCTGAGCTGGTGCCTTATCCTTCAAGGAACTTTTTCTGGGTTTGAGTAGGCACAAGGCGGTGTTGAGGTCCAGGGCTTCCTTCTTGTCTAAGGTAGTTTCTGCCTTCCACATTAACTAGAACATCTTTCATCCCTTTGTCTGGCTCCAGTCCTTTACTTCCCTCTGGTGTCTGGATGTGGTACGGGCTGGAAGAGTCCATCTTTCAGCAACTGCTTCTTCAGAAAGGCTGAATCCCTTTTTGTCATTCTGGATGGTCCATGTAAGGCTACATCAGATTCTGGTTTCACCATCTCTGACAAACTTATCACTCAAGCTTATAGTCTCAAGGGTCAGGTTCCACCCTTTCCTGTCAAGGTACACTGCACTAAATCTGAGTCCTTCTGGGTTTTTTTTGCCATCAAGCAACTGTTTGCCTGTTTTGCAAGGTCTACCCGATTCTCTGTTCACACATTTTCTAAGTCCCTCTAGGTGCATGTTGCAGCCCCTGATGCTTGTTGTTGACAGTCCCTTGCTGTCCTTGCGTTCAATGCTGGGCTATTGGTCCTGCGTTGTTCTCAATGACGTCAGAGTGCCTATGACTGACTGAGTAGCAGGGGTCAATCTTATAGATGAGGGAGCCTGCAAGAGCGAGGGATTTTGTAAATAAAAGTTCTTTTAACTGGTACCCAAAGCAGAGCTGAGAATTTAACCCTTGCAGTGCAGGGGTAGCCCACTGAAAGGTTTTTTTTTTTTCCTCGGAGTTCAGTTTTAAAGTGAGCCAATCCAGACCTGTAAAGTAATTCTCACATTTTACAACTAGGACTGTAAAGTTAGCTTTACGTTATTTGCTAATAGCTTACAGCACATGCTGTATGTTTACATAACAGGGCTGGCAGGCTGCCAACCTTAGCAGTAGAAATTTATGGGAAAAGAGCTAAGATTTTAGTGCCCCTTTTGTGAACTGTGACTCACTTTCTCCACAATTCCTATGGCTCTAGAAGTGAATAGGGGCTTGTTTTATTTTACTGCCTATAGTATGCAAAAATACTTTACTGTGTATAGTCTGGGCACAGGTTTACTATAAGGCTAAATATCCAGATTCTGACATAAACCCAGCTGTGACAATCTCTTTTTAAGGATTTATTGCATGAGGAAATAAATCCATTCTTTCAGATATTTTATACCTAGCTGTGGAAACAATTTTATCTATCCGAAGTAACTTTGCTCACAAATATTAACTGTGTTTCTCAAATATCAAAGAAAAGAAATTTTGCACTGGAACACAAGCTGGAATATGTATGGTAGCTGTAAAGCTGGTCGCACAAATTACACATTTTGTTGTACGATTTATTGTGTATTCCTGGTTAACCAGATATATCACTTTTTGTTTTCCGGACTTAATTGAACAGACATCTTAATGTGTGAGGCACACTTGGGATCCAGCACAGTCTTGCTAATTGAATGAGGTTATCAGAAAAAAATAGTGGAAGCTTTCCAAGGTTTTATTAGATCGAAACCGTGCACTTTTGCTTTCTGTACTGTTCATCTGGAAAATAGCTCAACTGTTATATCTCAAATGGGTCTTCTAGAGAGGCTTCAAGAAAATGGTTACACTCCAGTTGTGCATATATAAGGTTTAGTGTATTTTTGAAAAATGTTCAGTATTTTAAGATGAATAGTGTACTGCAGTAAATTCTGATCATGTATTTTGTTATTTCAAAGTTATTTATTAGTGCTAATAATTTTACTGTTCTCTATAACCAGACCAGTGTGTTTAGCTGTCAGTATTTTATTCAGAAATATGGTACCAATATATCACAACGGACGAGTTTCCATTTCTACGGAGGATGACGTGTTCTCTTACGTACATTGAACGAAGCGACAGAAGAGGAGCTACAGTACAGTACAGTACAGTGTGGTGTGGGGGCAATTAGTGTAGCATAAACAGTAAATAGGCAGTGTTTCATATGAATAAAGCTGTTTTCCTATGTAAATTCCCCCTCTAGTGGTTACAATACTATTGTATTTAAACAAATGTGCCTTTAATCTGTTCTACTAAATATATTCCTTTAAAGAACAAATTAAAATACAGTAGCTGTGATGACCTGCATGAGGGTGTAGGGGGTCAAGAAATCTTGTGATTCGCGGTAAAAAAGTTGCGCGATTCCAAAGGCTACTTGGCTGTATCCCAATGGAAAACGCCCTACAAAACGGCCCAAAGTAGTCCCGGGACCTTTTCAGGCGTGGGCCGTTTTGTAGGGCGTTAGGGACGGGCCGAAATACGCCAAGGTGGGAACGAGGGCATTGACTACAATGCAATTTATATTTTTGACCGTTTTGTAGAGCGTTCGTCGAGCGTAGAACGCCCTACAAAACGGTCAGGTGTGAACGAGGCCTAAGTCATACTGATCTGATGCACAGAGCCGGCTTGTTCTTAGACTGGTCCTTCCAACATCTCTCCCCCCTCTCTGCAGCAGTTAAAGGTCCCATAAATCCCATATGTTAGCATGTTGCAGTGCCGTTAATTTTCAAAGGCACCCTAATGCGTTAGGGTAACACAGCTATGACGCACAAGTTGCAGCGCACCACAATGCACA